CAAATCCGACTGACAAATAATGGGCTATGAATCTGTGAATGTGAATCTGCAATTAGTTGGCTAAAGAAGGCTTTAAATATGGGTCAGAGTTATAATTCAAACTTTGCATATATATATATAGGCATGAGAGTATGTAGTTGTCAAGAATTTTGTGTATATAATTTGGATTTTTTTAAAAGGTGGATTCTGTTTTATAGTGTTTGGTGGGTTTTAGCATCAACTGAAAACCTTTAGATAAATTTCATAATTCTTAAAAACTGATATTTTGATTTCTGTGATCTTGATGCTGGGTTAGAAATTCCCAGTGATAACCCAGAATAATGGAACGGATCTCAAGGCTTCCATGGAAGTGGCTACATGTGAAGTCCTTGAGTCTCAGTGAAAAAATAGATACCTTGTCATTTGCAGAGCACAATTGTTCCCTTGTTTTGATAGTGCATCATAGTTGCCAAGTGCTTATTCCTATGCAGTTTAAAAAGCAGTTAATTTATTTGGCAAATAAATAATTGTATTTGTGGGATACAATGTGATGTTTGATGAATGTATACATTGTAGAAGAATTAAATCAGGCTAATTAACAGATATCTTATTGTATTTTTTTGTAGTGAAAATGTTTAATATCTATTCTTGTATGTTTCCAGAAGTTTTGATTTGATCTTTGTGAAAACCTTGGAGATAGTTGGCATACATCACTACCTCTGTTTTCACAGGTAATGATACCAAGACAGAGGCTTAGTGGCTTGCTGTTGCCCTTGTTTCCTGACTCGCAGGAGAAAGCTATATGGTCTTTAGCATTGTCGATTGATTACAGCTTCTTAATTAGATGATAGTATTCTTGATTTTCTTCTTTGTCATCGCCATTCTGTTTCAGATTTAGAGAAGTTGTATTCAAATACCTTTCAGAGTATAACTCCCCTAAGCAGATTGTTAAGATTCTTACTCTTACTCTGGCAGATGTTTTGAAAACACTAGTATTGGATAAACCAACAACTGTGTGCTTAGCTTCATCCTTTGTAGGGATTTTGTAGCAATTAAGCACAGAGAGTAAAGTGGGCAGACAAGTCTTTTCACTAGCCCATGGCTAGGGAGTGTGCCTCATTCATTAAATACATCTGCAAGGGCACAAAAACCGGTCCTTTCAAGTCCTTTTTATTCTGTTTTTGTGGCTTGTATACTTGACTGTTCAGAAGCTACCAGACCATAAAATCCAGCCAGTGAGAAGATTGGAAGTCATGGAGCCCAAAGGTTTATTAAGTGAAGTGAAACTCCATTGTTTTGTGCATGTGTTAAATAATGCTGTCAGTGCAAGACTGCTACAAATTCCCGGCTAGTAATAACATGAATCGCACTTTGTGGCTTCAGAAGGAGATAAAAGCAAGCTCTGAGTCAGCAGCTGATGAGACCGTGGCACACATCAGCGCTGGTATCCCGAGGACTTTCCTTCTGGCAGATGCTGGCCCTCTGGCAGCAGAGCTCCTATTATCATATAAATTAAGCTGGGGAATGAGTGGAGGGTGCCTGGCCCTTCTGCTGGTACCCAGGTTGCAAGGGCTGCAATGCCAAGCAGGCCTGATGCTGGCTGGTGCTGGTGGGGTAGTGTGGTTGGGGGGCAGGGGGACTGGGCTCCCCTCTCTGCTTCTTCTCATCCAGATGGATTAGAGAAACAGTAAGTGCCAACATGAGAACCGTTCTTTTTCTCTTTTTTCCTCTTTTCTTCTTCTTCCTCTTTTTTCTTTTTTAAGTCCTACAGCATTCCACAAATTAGCCTAATTCATCCTGCTTTAATTCACAGGCACTAATTATGTTTCAGCACACATTCTTACACACTAAATTATAAGTATCCTTATTTTAATCACTTGTAACTCATCCTGAAATTGGGGATTTAGTACTTTCCACTTGTAGGATAACAGGCTTTGCCATGTTGTGAGATGGGATTAAACCCTTCACTTCGGATGTGTAGTTGAAGATAGGGGAGGATGCATTATTTTTTCCTAAAGAGATCTGTATTTTCTTCCAGGTGTGATTTAAGCTTTCTAATGTCCTTTTTAAATTTGCGACATGGGGTCTCCTGTGTAGGGATATGAATTGATAAGCACAATTTGTAGAAACATAATTATAGTACTTACAGTTGAATAATAATTTATAGTTGCAAAGTACTTCCCATAGAAACAATTTTGTTTGGAGTTTAAATAACCTCAGCGTGGGCAATTAGGGATTATCATGAGGCACGTTGTTGAAGACCACACGCTTGCTTGGTTGGTTGGTGGTAGCACGGCTGGCACTAGGGCATAAGTCCCACCTCTGTTGGGTGGGTGGTGGAGGTCTCTCTCCCTGAACCTCGTGGTGCACATGAGGTGCACATGGTGCTCTTTCCCTGAACCACAGGGATTCTCTTTTCCTATCAACTTTCTTTATATTTTTATGAGACTTTCTGGAAATTCCTTAATTTGTAGTATGTAAAGAGGATCCCTTATGGTCATTCTACAAAATTTTACATTTTACTGATAGCATAAAGCAGGGCATTAAAAATTTTGGCAAAGAATTGCTATTCTAGCTTCTTAAATAAGTTCTACCTCTTACTGTCTCTATCTTTATCTCTTGCCTCTGTGTCTCCTTCCCTCTTTTCCTCCCTCCCTCTCAGGATTTTAAGCCTGTTGAAAACTGCAAGAAATGGTTTGATTGATGACTGTGCCCTTGAGAAACCTGTAGTCAGATGGAGAGATTAATGTGTTCTCTTCAGAGCAAAGCTGTGGAAGAATTGGAGTTGGTGGAGAGCCACTGAAGTCTCCAGCCCAGCTCCCCCTCCCCTTCGTCACATCCTGCTGCAGCTGAATCTCATCTTGTACTTCATCTGGGCTCTCTCCCTTATAAGAGGAGCTCTGTGGAAAGACTTATGGAGCTTAATGCCTTGAAGAAGGGGGCAAACATTCAGCCTTGCTGGTGTCAGCCAGGGCCACTGGGTCCCTGGGCCATGTGGGAGGTGATGCGAAGGGCATGAGGACTGCAATCCGATGAGCTCCATTTGATTGGTGCACTCCCTAGTACACTGCTTGTTGTTACACCAGAGGCTCTGCTTATAGCCAGCCCTCAGTGGGTTGCTGTACCGTGCCAGGCACCTTTTCCAACTTGATCAGAGCCTCTTACCTGTGAACCCTCCCCTGTGCCAACATCAGACCAGGAACAACGCATCACCATTTACTTGTACCCCATCACCCAAGGCAATGTCTTCCCATCTTTTCTCTAAATGAGAAAATGTCTTGCACCAGGCTCTTAGGAACACAGAGTCATCTAAACACTTGAGTTGACTTCTAATATTGCAAATGCTAAACACTATTCGGAGGAAATTGGGCCACAAAACACCAGTTTCCTTAGCATCACTGTCTGGTTGTGTGCACAGGGAGCAGGGACTCCTGGATGAAGAGGTACTGGCTCTAATTATCATTCTCTTTTTGGGTTCATTTTAGATAAACCTGTCTCAGGGATGCTAGTTCTCCAGCTGATGTCCCTGGACAGAAAAGATTCCAAGGAGTCCAAAGAGAAATGTCAGGGAGAAGAAGGAAGTTGAACGGTACCTGACTTAACATACAGCTTTTGTAGTTCATAAGGAGGCTTGTGACTGAGCTGGGCCTGGACACAGTGCTGTCCTTTGACAAAACAGTGAATTAAGGGACAAAAGCAGTGTCTTGGGTCCCAAGTGTGAAACACAACTGTAGTCTTCATGGGAATCTGGAACTCCCAGTTTTTTTTTGTTTTATTATTCATATGTGCATACAAGCTGGGTCTTTCTCCCCCCCCGCCCCCACCCCCTCCCTAACCACCACTCCCTCCCTCTCCCCCCCACCCCTCAATACCCACAGAAACTATTTTGCCCTTATCTCTAATTTGTTGAAGAGAGAGTATAAGCAACAATAGGAAGGAACAAGGTTTTGCTGGTTGAGGTAAGATAGCTATACAGGGAGTGACTCACATTAATTTCCTGTGCATGTTGTTACCTCTAGGTTAATCTTTTTGATCTAACCTTTCTCTAGTCCTGGTCCCCATCTCCTATTGGCCTCAGTTGCTTTAAGGTATCTGCTTAGTTTCTCGTTTAAGGGCAACAAATGCTAGCTAATTTTTAGGTGTCTTACCTATCCTCACCCCTGCCGTGGTCTCTTGCTTATATCATGTACTCAAAGTGCAATCCCCTTGTGTGTTTGTCCTTGATCTAAGTCCACATATGAGGGAGAACATACGATTTTTGGTCTTTTGGGCCAGGCTAACCTCTCTCAGAATGATGTTCTCCAATTCCATCCATTTACCAGCGAATGATAACATTTTGTTCTTCTTCATGGCTGCATAAACTTCCATTGTGTGAATAGTGCCGCAATAAACATGGTTGTGCAGGTGCCTCTGGAGTAACCTGTGTCACAGTCTTTTGGGTATATCCCCAAGAGTGTATTGCTGGATCATTGCTGGATCAAAATTGGTAGATCAATGTTAGCTTTTAAAGTAGCCTCCAATTTTTTTCCAGAGTAGTTGTACTATTTTACATTCCCACCAACAGTGTAAGAGGGTTCCTTTTTCCCACATCCTCGCCAACACCTGTTGGTGGTGGTGTTGCTGATGATGCCTATTCTAACAGGGGTGAGGTGGAATCTTAGTGTGGTTTTAATTTGCATTTCCTTTATTGCTAGAGATGGTGAGCATTTTCTCATGTGCTTTTTGGCCATTTGAATTTCTTCTTTTGAGAAAGTTCTGTTTAGTTCACTCGCCCATTTTTCTTTATGGTTTCATTAGTTTTGGAGGGACATTTATTTTTTAAGTTCCCTATATTATTCTGTTATTCAGTCCTCTTGCTGATGGTGTAGCTGGCAAATATTTTCTCCCACTCTGTGAGTGTTCTCTTTAGTGGAACTCCCAGTCTTCAGGCAGCAGTGGACAAAGATGGCAACTGTGTGGCTTTACCAGCAGCCATGCAGCTAGAAATGTGGAACTCATTTTGTGTCTCTGACTGACTGCAGGTGAGTGGCACTTACTTGCCTTCGGATGCGAATGGCTGGTTTGAGATCTTTGCCATCATCCGTTTGGAGAGGGGGAAGGGTACTGAGGGTCCAGAGCAAGGTGTGCTAAGCAGGATCCTACAAAGCAGGGAACACAGCTTGGAGAGGCAGAGGTAGGAGGGAGAGCCAGGGAGAACCTGCACACATGTACGGTTTTACTTGGGATCAATCCTGTTTGTCACCACCTGGAACCGAGGTGGTATTTTGCAAAGAAATACAAATGAATAAACAGAACTGTCTACCTCATGTCCCTGCCAACCACAGACAAAACAATGACAATATTCCAAATAAGCAAAATGCTCATTTCTCAGATATAAATCTAAAGTCACTCCAGTTTTGGAAAATATGCTCCTTGTGGATGCTACAAGATCCTATCTGTATCTGTTTTAAAAACTCTTTCAAAACCTCAACACCATTTATTTAAAAATTGACCAAAGGAAATGATAGCATTCTCCAGCATGCCAGGTTACCTTGGCATCGTTTCACAGGCTGGACTTGGAGAGTAAGTATTAGGCTTATATATTTATTTATTTTTCAATTAGACACATGCTTTGCTCACAGGGCAAATTGTCTTAATTCATTTATACACTCAGTCCAAACTACTGTACCAGACCAAATTCCACAGCATGCAAAGTTTTAAGAGTCATTTTGGTGAGTCCTTTTGTGTGTATAAGTAAATACATACAGCTAACACCTTTGTCAAGGCATCTTGAAGAGAGTGGTACTCTGTCTAGATGATTTCACATCAGCCACCTTATGTGGGGACAGGCAGACAGCATTTTGGTTATTGGCATTTAGAAGATGCTTCTGACATAAGTGTAGCTCAGGTATGTAGCATAACACTGGAATGATACATTGAGAGAGAGAGGGAGTCAGCATCCCAGTGTTTGATGAGTTGGGTGAGATATTCTTTAGTGACTGTATTCCAAAGCATTATATTTAGAAGGCTCAGGAAGATTTTTTTTTTAAAAAATGTGTTTCTAAGTTTGCTTTACTTGTTTGTTTTTTTGTTAAAGTGAGGAAGCTGTGTTTTGAATTTTATACCGAGAATTCTTTGGGAAAGCCAATCAAGGAGGAAGTATGGTTTGGAGATGAAATAGTGTGGATGCGCCACCTGTTGGTCACATCGGCATGTCTGCACATGTTCTCTTGTCAGTTGAAACTGGGTACCAGTGCTGTGTTGGCAGGAGGGTGCGGGTTTCCCGGAGGGACCCTGTAAGTGGTGAGTTGATTAGCATAGTATTCTTGATGGAACATCTTCTTAATTTATGCTCACAAAAATTCTCCTGTTTCACATTTATTTGAAATTAGTTTTATGAGCTGGGCAGTATTTGTTATCCTTTTTACTAATACTTTTAGCCAATTAAGTCAGCTGAAATTCGGATTGAACTTTAAAGTTATTTCTTAGTTATATTTTATCATTTCATTGGCATGTTCTGATGTGTAACAAACAGAAACACCAAGAATATCTGCAGGGCGTTTTTGTTCCTAACAGAAGCCTGGCTGGTGGCCAACTGCTGTGACATCTCATCCAAGCCTTTCTTGTTCTTTTGGGACCAATCTCTCTCAGTAGAATACTGTATAAGAGAAGGATCAAGGGGAAGCACCATCTTTTGGAGAAAGTCATTCTTTCTTAGTTGAGATATGGTTCCAAACACGTACCACATTAGCCAGTGGGGCAATAATTTCTTTCTTGTTTCACCCTTAAACCACATAGATCAAAATTGTGACAAATACTGAGGTTTTCCGAAACTATTAGTGATAGAGATCATTTCCACAGGGCACAGAATACTTTGTCTCCTCAGTCACCAGGAACCTTTGAAGTTTCCTTCTCCATCAAAGGCTCTCTGTCTTCTCTGTCTGTCTGTCTGTCTCTTTGTGTGTCAACATTTATAGGAAAAACTTTCATTGGTATACAATTTACCCGGGAGGATTTTTACTTTGCTAGCATTTTTTAGGTATCCATTTTGGGCATAGTTACATGAAGAAAATCTTAACATTTAATACATACTAACATTTTTATTACACAGGGATAATTTTTTGGCATGGGAATTATCATGGTGGAATTAAATAAAACATACAGAGCTCAGGAGGGCTCTTCAGACCACGAAGACTTCAGCTAAAATCTTTTCCTACAGATGATCTCTGAATTTGCAGCGCCTAGATGACAGGCCAGTCTTACATCTTAAAGTGTCCATGACAACCCAATTATTCTTGGTGGTTACTGAGAAGAACAAACAAAAAAGCATCATACAGTCTGGGTCCTTGTAAGATGCAATACTGAAGGAAGGATGGAGCCAAATTGCCTGGGTTCCAGTACATGCCCTGCCCCATACTGGTAGTGTGACCTTGAGGGTCTTACTTTACCTCTTTATGCCTCCTTCCTTCTGTGAGAGGGGACAGTGAAAACTTGTCTGGATGTATGGTGGGCACTCAGTACACCTCAGCTATTTTCATCCTCACCATTGGTGGTTGTGGGAGGGGGTATGGGTAGCCAAAGCTTAGACACCACAGACAAAGGGATATTTTAACCAAACAAGAATAATTTAACTTAGTATAGTATTAAAAAAAAAAGAAATCTAAGATGATTTGGCTATGAGTTTCATAGAGGAAAACCAGGGTGCACTGTGGATTTGCAGGAGGATGATAGATCTGGATTTGGAACATTCCAAAATAAATTTTAATTTTAAAGCCTGCTTTCTCTATCTTCAGGCACTGCTTGTGCGTATGGGTGAGGTGGGCAACACCTACACCTGCAGTTCTATTCTCCAGCCTCTTGCCAAATGCCCCCCGTGCGCTCTGTGTCCTGTGCCAACTCTTCTATGTCGCTGTCCTTTTAAATTTATTTAAAGAAACCACTTTATTGATTGAAAATTTTCAAAAAAGCCATATGTCGCATCTCTTGATCAATAATACTCTTCTTGACGATTTTCACCTTAAGGTATTTATTTTTTTGGATCTTAATAGTATTTTTTTGATTTGTATTTAACATTGCTAAAATATGTAGAAATATGATTAACTTTTGTTTTTTGATTCTTTTATCTTTGTGTGAACTGCCTAAAGCCACTTATTAGTTGCTAGGAAGTCTTTTAGTCCTTGATTCCTTGGATTTTAGTTGTATCATTTTATCCATTAAATAAACATGACGTATTTCCAATTTGTATGCCTTTTATTTTTTCCGCTTACCCTGCTAGACCTGCCCAGTACAATGTTAAGTAGTCTGAGAGTGGACATTTTTTTACCTTGTTCCTTATCTGAAGAGGAGGCATCCAGTTTGTTCATTTCATTAGCATAAGGTTAGGGTATTTTTTTTTTTTTTATTCATATGTGCATACAAGGCTTGGTCATTTCTCCCCCTCCCCCACCCCCTCCCTTACCACCCACTCCCCCCCCTCCCCCCCCCCTCAATACCCAGCAGAAACTATTTTGCCCTTATCTCTAATTTTGTTGTAGAGAGAGTATAAGCAATAATAGGAAGGAACAAGGGTTTTTGCTGGTTGAGATAAGGATAGCTATACAGGGAGTTGACTCACATTGATTTCCTGTGTGGTGTTACCTTCTAGGTTAATTCTTTTTGATCTAACCTTTTCTCTAGTTCCTGGTCCCCTTTTCCTATTGGCCTCAGTTGCTTTTAAGGTATCTGCTTTAGTTTCTCTGCATTAAGGGCAACAAATGCTAGCTATTTTTTAGGTGTCTTACCTATCCTCACCCCTCCCTTGTGTGCTCTCGCTTTTATCATGTGCTCAAGTCCAATCCCCTTGTTGTGTTTGCCCTTGATCTAATGTCCACATATGAGGGAGAACATACGATTTTTGGTCTTTTGGGCCAGGCTAACCTCACTCAGAATGATGTTCTCCAATTCCATCCATTTACCAGCGAATGATAACATTTCGTTCTTCTTCATGGCTGCATAAAATTCCATTGTGTATAGATACCACATTTTCTTAATCCATTCGTCAGTGTGGGGCATCTTGGCTGTTTCCATAACTTGGCTATTGTGAATAGTGCCGCAATAAACATGGGTGTGCAGGTGCCTCTGGAGTAACCTGTGTCACAGTCTTTTGGGTATATCCCCAAGAGTGGTATTGCTGGATCAAATGGTAGATCAATGTTAGCTTTTTAAGTAGCCTCCAAATTTTTTTCCAGAGTGGTTGTACTAGTTACATTCCCACCAACAGTGTAAGAGGGTTCCTTTTTCCCCGCATCCTCTCCAACACCTGTTGTTGGTGTTGCTGATGATGGCTATTCTAACAGGGGTGAGGTGGAATCTTAGTGTGGTTTTAATTTGCATTTCCTTTATTGCTAGAGATGGTGAGCATTTTTTCATGTATTTTTTGGCCATTTGAATTTCTTCTTTTGAGAAAGTTCTGTTTAGTTCACTTGCCCATTTCTTTATTGGTTCATTAGTTTTGGGAGAATTTAGTTTTTTAAGTTCCCTATATATTCTGGTTATCAGTCCTTTGTCTGATGTATAGCTGGCAAATATTTTCTCCCACTCTGTGGGTGTTCTCTTCAGTTTAGAGACCATTTCTTTTGATGAACAGAAACTTTTTAGTTTTATGAGGTCCCATTTATCTATGCTATCTCTTAGTTGCTGTGCTGCTGGGGTTTCATTGAGAAAGTTCTTACCTATACCTACTAACTCCAGAGTATTTCCTACTCTTTCTGTATCAACTTTAGAGTTTGGGTCTGATATTAAGATCCTTGATCCATTTTGAGTTAATTGGTATAGGGTGATATACATGGATCTAGTTTCAGTTTTTTGCAGACTGCTAACCAGTTTTCCCAGCAGTTTTTGTTGAAGAGGCTGCTATTTCTCCATCGTATATTTTTAGCCTTTGTCAAAGACAAGTTGGTTATAGTTGTGTGGCTTCATATCTGGTCCTCTATTCTGTTCCACTGGTCTTCATGTCTGTTTTTGTGCCAGTACCATGCTGTTTTTATTGTTATTGCTTTGTAATATAGTTTGAAGTCAGGTATTGTGATACCTCCTGCATTGTTCTTTTGACTGAGTATTGCCTTGGCTATTCGTGGCCTCTTGTGTTTCCATATAAATTTAACAGTAGATTTTTCAATCTCTTTAATGAATGTCATTGGAATTTTGATGGGAATTGCATTAAACATGTAGATTACTTTGGGGAGTATCGACATTTTTACTATGTTGATTCTACCAATCCATGAGAATGGGAGATCTCTCCACTTTCTATAGTCTTCCTCAATCTCTTTCTTCAGAAGTGTATAGTTTTCCTTGTAGAGGTCTTTCACATTTTGTTAGATTTACACCTAGGTATTTGATTTTTTTTGAGGCTATTGTAAATGGAATTGCTTTCATACATTCATTTCAGTTTGCTCATTGTCAGTGTATAGAAATGCTAATGATTTTTCTATGTTGATTTTATATCCTGCTACCTTGCTATAGCTATTGATGATGTCTAGAAGCTTCTGAGTAGAGTTTTTTGGGTCTTTAAGGTATAGGATCATGTCGTCTGCAAATAGGGATATTTTGACAGTTTCTTTAACTATTTGTATTCCTTTTATTCCTTCTTCTTGCCTAATTGCTCTGGCTAGGAATTCCAGTACTATGTTGAATAAGAGTGGAGATAGTGGGCATCCTTGTCTGGTTCCTGATTTTAGAGGGAATGGTTTTAGTTTTTCTCCTTTAAGTATAATGCTGGCTGTAGGTTTGTCATATATAGCTTTTATAATGTTGAGGTACTTTCCTTCTATTCCTATTTTCTTAGAGCTTTTATCATGAAATGGTGTTGGATCTTATCAAAGGCTTTTTCTGCATCTATTGAGATGATCAAGTGGTTTTGTCTTTGCTTCTGTTAATGTGGTTTATTACATTTATTGATTTTCGTATGTTGAACCACCCCTGCATCCCTGGGATGAAGCCTACTTGGTCGTGGTGAATAATCTTTTTGATGTGTTGTTGAATTCGTTTGCCATTATTTTGTTGAGGATTTTTGCATCAATGTTCATTAAGGAGATTGGCCTATAGTTCTCCTTTTTGGAGGTGTCTTTGCCTGGTTTTGGGATAAGTGTAATACTGGCTTCATAAAATGTGTTGGCAGTTTTCCTTCCCTTTCTATTTCATGGAACAGTTTAAGGAGGGTTGGTATCAGTTCTTCTTTAAAGGTCTGATAGAATTCAGCAGAGAATCCATCAGGTCCTGGACTTTTCTTTTTGTGTTATAGATCTATTCAGGTGATTAA